CTCTATTTGTCCGCTTAACGGCGTGATTTTTTTAAATATTTATGTTACCTATGTTTCGTTTCTAATCAAAATTGCACTCTGAACTCTTCATTCTACTTTTCCTTTAATTTATGAAACTATTTGAACTTTTTTTTATTATTTATTATTTACGTCTGTCCGTTTGTTATCATTAATCATTCGAATCAAGAATAGTAAGAAAGCGCATCGTCATCGTGACAAAGTTCGTACAAAATTCCTAACCATTGGTTACAATTACAATGGTTATTTGATTTTTACCATCACTAGTATGTCCGTTCAAGTGTTTGAAGTAAAAAAGATTTTACAATACACGATTTTTTATAAACCTTGTCAATTAATAATGTTTGTTTTCTGTAATGCTACAGACGTTTAAATTTAAATAAACAGCTGAGCTGTTCAGTTGAAATTGTCTGTGTAATTATAATTTAGCCTGACAATTGAACTGTACAATGTTGCCTACATACTAGTACCAACATTAAGGATTGTTTACTTAATTTATAGTTTTAGTTTATTTTTTAGTTAACTCAACATACAAATAGTACATTTTTATCTTGTTAGTTTTAATTTATCCATAGATAAAACCATAAATAATAAACTAAATACTTGTATTGTTTAAGTTGACATTACAGTGGATTATTTATAGAGAGGTTTACAGTAATAATTTTATTATTATTGACGCCTGTTCAAATACGGTCTCCCACACCGCGGTCTTTACCCGCCTGCCTATTGTTTGTGTCCACCCACGCGGCGCGACGCCGTGAATATATCACTTCGGTATTGGACCCGGCTGAGGGTGATTTCCTTGTTTATCTACCCGCAATGTAAAATTTAAACACATAAAGCGTTTAGATAAAACAAAGGACATACTGGTCGGGGAATGTCCGCTCTAAATAATGGTTGTGTTATCGAGTTTGCTGATTTCAGGCAAATTCAAATCAAAGTTATTGCATGGATTATAACCTATATACGTAGATCTTTAAAATGGAGATTGCATGTGGCTGAGATGCGTATGTTAAGATGGATGTGTGGTGTGACAAGAATGGATAAAGTTAAGAATGTGTACATTAGAGGAAGTTTTAAAGTAGCACCAGTGGTGGAGAAATCGAGAAGCAAAAGGTTAGCGTGGTATGGACATGTAATGCAACGAAATGATGGGGACATAAAGCAGAAAGTGTTAAGATTGAATGTGGATGGCTACAAAGGAAGAGGAAGACCAAAGAAAGTATGGATGGATTGTGTGAAAGAGGATATGATTAAGAAAGGAGTGGACTCAGATATGACAGCTGATAGAGATGTTTGGAAGAGCAGCACGTACTGTGCCGACCCTCCGTAAGGGATAAGGGCAAGTGGATAATGATGACGTAGATCTTTAAAATAAAGAACTTTTTACAATATTTCTGTCTCAATAACTCAATAGGTAATGCAGCAATTGTTATTTACCTTAGATGTCAATGATCTCAAAGCGTAAATTTATTTTAAGACCACCTACAAAAAGATCTCACAAGAATTTGCATTGTTACAATCTTTAACTTTTTGTTCACAATATAGAGCGGTTGTTAATTCAAACTATGACATATCAAAGCTGCGATCTCCCTTGCGCGATATCTACTGTTACTTATACCTAAAATAGCATCACCTATAAGAATATCACGATTCCTTCGACGTTTTTACAAAGGTGACCCTGGGAACGCTGTATGATTGGAATAGATCATTCAATACAGATTGTATCGATATTGTATCGATATCGGCGGGTCTCGATCGCGGAAACATCGGTAACGGTGCGGCCCGGTATCGCTCAACACTATGTCCATACTAGGGCTGCCCCCCGGCCCTACTACGGTGTCCGGCCCTAAATGCAAACTGGATGCTTTTCTATGGTCATCTTAAGACTCGGTACAGTAATTTTAATGTTTATTGACGCTTGTTCACAAGTTATAAGCGAAACGTATCTTTATTTCAAGTAGTATAGCACTCTGTAGACTACGTTCTTTAATATAGTTAATACTAATATTATAAATGCGAAAGTTTAGATCGATGGATGGATATTTGTTAGAGTTTGTAGCCTAAACGGCTGATCGGATTTGGATCAAATTTGGCATAGATGTAGGACGTTGTCTGGAAGAACACATAGGTTAGTCACTTTTGTTTTTTTTTAATTTCACGCGGACGGAGTCGCGGGCTAAAACTAGTATGTTATAATTTTGAACTTTTATAAACTACATTTCTGTTTCACTATATTAAATTTAATATAAAATACTTAACATTCTTACTAACTAAAGTCATAGTTATTCTGAAATGATGTCAAAAATGTTTTCGTCATTCAATAGATAAAAGCATAGATCACAAAAAAGTAACCATAAAGCATTTTGGCATGTGGCTATGAATAGTAACGGAACTTTCAACACAGAATAATAATGGTATCCGTTTAAGACGGAAAACTAATAATATTATGACTTAAAATTAATTTGATTACGGCCGATGACATGACGTTTTACGAAGTAAACACAGCATTCGAATTTAGAAAGTCGGCTAACGTACAACTTGACCCGTTCGAAACAAAATATAAGAAAAAAAATTAACTGTAAATCGTATAGTTGAGCTGCGATGATCAACGATTCATGGTATAGTTTGGCCCCGATAAATTGAAGATGCTTTAAGAGTAACGATTTGTAAAGTCAAGACTATATTGTACTGTTGTATTCCAATTGAGTGTGGAGGTACATCGGTAGAGGTAGACCTAGAAAGAGATGGATGGATTGCGTAAAAGGTGACATTATCAAAAAGGGAGTGATGACAGATGACGTATGATAGAGTTATGTGGAGGACAAAATCCTGTTGCGCCGACCCTAATGGAATAGGATTAGGAGAAAAATGATGTATTCCAATTGACCGAAAACTAATTAACTATGACAGATAAATATTTTGCCATATTAGTTCAAGTATGTTTTATCCTTTGCTAAAAGATGAAATTGCAAGTTTTTAATATTTGATTTACAATTTCTTTTAAATAAACTTTTCCTCTTTCGTGGACATTCTTTGGAAGATAAAAAAAGTCCGCTCTGTATATCTTTATAAATTCATTTTAGATGATTTCATTAAGTCGAGTCCAAATTTAAAAAAGCTAAAACATGAAAACAATTAACTTATTCTCATTTAGTGAAGGTAGCTCCGTCACGAATGGATAATTGCACCTCACAATAAAGATCTTACACAATGCTTTGATTTTTAAATGTTCTATAACAAATTCAACATCGAAATTTGAAGGTTAATGTGTCTAGACGGATGAGATTTGAACAATTTTAAGACATAAAACGAACAATTCAGACACAAATAGATAAAGCAAAAAAGAATATTTTAAACAAATAATGTAAGTCTAACTATTAAATAACATTTAAGATATGCGTTTAACATTTGATTTATAAAACTAAAAAAAAAAAGATTTTTTAAATAAATCATGGTATCTTGAATTCTAAAAATGACGTAGAGCGGGCGCACACCTAAAACTAAACTATCGCACACTGTTTAGACTCCGTTTGATTATACATAAGAGCTTATATAGAGGTGTGCACACTATTCAATTTTTATTTGTGTAAATAGTTGAATAGGCTGCGAAACAATGACAATCGCACAACAGTTACGCGATACTTTAGTCAAAGGTGTGCGCCAGATCTACTATCATAAAATTTAGAATAAATAATTAGTTTTACATAATATAATTAGTATAAAATAAACAACTGGTTAACAACGATTAAAAATAAACTAAACGAGCATTTGACGAACCAGTTTAGGATATCGAAATCTTTTATCGACTTGTATAATTTGTATAATTTCATCGATGGTAGATTAAATAGCGTATAAAGAGGCAATCAGTCATCGTGAACGAGTACGATACGATATTAGACGAATCAAATCGATAGTAACCCAACTTGAAACGCTTAACTTAACTATAACTTGACAAAACAACAAAAAATATAACTTCCCAACGACCCGTGACACAGAATGTGTTTTACAAAATTCTTACAAGCAGTCAAACTTAAAAAACGATCTACAAGCGAGGGAGTTGAAGAAAAAAAAAAGAAAAAAAACTGGAGTTGACCGGCATCGGGCCCGTTGCTAACAAAAAGGTTCGTTAGTTGACTTAGAGGGATTTATATCGAGTTGTTTATACACCCCACCTCTACATACAAAATAATATCAATGCTTTGCAGAATTACCAATTATAAAACACTTGATAGTAAGACTAAGTATAATTAAATTTATTAGTACTTTTTATCTTTTTAAACTAACTTATTTTCCAAATAAACAACTATATTAGTATTAAACATTTTTTTTACATTAACTTTTTTATTACATTTATATCCAAAGCTTATTTTCATTCATAAATAAATGGTAGTATTAACATCTCTATGTGTATCCGAGCACGCGTCCGGAGGGGCGTACATCTGACCGCGTGGTTCCATAAAAACAATTACATACGCACACCGCTCCCCCTAATTGAATTATTATTAGTAAATTGCCGGCTAACACAATAATTGAAGGGTTGTGTTAGCAGTACCGCCTAATTTTCAATTTGTTTAACACTTTGATTGCTTTGTTGTTTTAACGCAGTTTTTTTAGAGCCTTCGAGGTTATCGACCGGCGTTACTCCTTATTCGGAGCACATATCTATTATTGTGCGTTTTTAAATTTGTTTTAGTGAATGCATGCTTTGCGTAAGATTGATACTGTAGCATGTAATTCATTCAGTTTTAATACATAATTATAGTTATGTGTCTTTGAATTTTAAAGAGGTTTTCTTTCCCTAAAATATTATGTCAATTCTTTTTATGCCAATAGGTACACAATTTTGTTTAATTTTAGATGTTTATTGGGTGTAGAGCATTTTTCGTGATGTTTTTAATTGATCATTAAATGATTTTTAATTGTTTAGGAAATTCTTCATTTTAATTTCAAAAATATTAAGTAGAGTTTTTACGATTAACCTCAACTCAGGCTATTTAAAGAGCGTACTTAGTTTTAACTTAAACATATCTTTTTCCTGAGTAAATTCTAAGCCCAGAAGACCTATAAACTCGATTCCTAAGAATTCACCGAACAAGTAATTTCGTAAGAAAGCCAACAGGAAAGTAGTTTTCAAACAGCCTCAGACATGAGGTCTCACAAAATGAGACATGTTAAAGGTTCATCTTGCAACAGTGGTAGTGACCGCTTTAAGATCTTAGCACGAATGGGCCGGTACGCCAGGTGTAATACCACGACCACATAGAAGACAGGCGTGAAGTGGAAACAATTCCGTGTTTCGTCTGATGAGTGTGATGCCGGAGGCCTAATTTAAGTCCCTTTCTCTTTACCACCCTTTTCTTATAAAAAGAGGATGGGAAGAGGAAGTGGATTTGACAGTGGAGGAGATGCATAAGAAGGGGAAATATCCTCTTTATGTGCGTCTCCTCCTCCGTCTGATAAGGGTAGGCAACGCATCTGCAATTGCGGATGTCTATGGGCAGCGGTCACTTCGCCATTTTGACGATTTCAGGTGGCCTTTTGCTCGTTTGCCACCTTATGTTATAAAAAAAAAATCTTTATATAAAATGTAGTCTATACCAACACTTAATAAAAATATCACAAAGATTTAATCATAATCAAGAAAATTTAAACAAGTAACCTCTATATCTAGGATGTTTTAAGATATTCTGTTCCAATCATAATAATAAAGACAAACAAATGTGTATTCCAGGACCGTTATTCGAGATATATTCATTCGTAATATTGTGTGGCGTCCGCCTACGCGCCCCATGTGGCCAGCTAGTATATCCTTGTCCTTAATCTTTATTAATAAATCTAATATATCTCTTGCTTATAGAATTTTCATAAATAGGTGACTATGATATTAATACTTTAACTGTAATATAAGAAATATGAAATGAGTGTTCGATATTTTTTTTTATAATATAAGGTGGCAAACGAGCAAGAGGCCACCTGAATCCACCGAAATGGAAAGCGACCGCTGCCCATAAACATCCGCAATTGCAGATGCGTTGCCTACCCTTCATTGACGAATGAGGAGACGTATATAAAAAGGATATTTCCCCTTCCTATGCGCCTCCTCCACCGTCAAATCCACTTTTCCTTCCCATCCTTTCCTCTTAAGAAGGGTGGAAAGGAAAATGAACTAAAATTAGGCCTCCTAAATATGCAACATATACGAGTTATTTAGCATAATTTAAACCATAAGAAAGAAACTTAATTGCTGTTTTCTGTAAAATTAGATAAAAGAATGTCCAGGAATCTAATTATACATTTTATTACTGAATTGCATTAAGTTTTTTTTCATTAATGTATTTGACAATTTGTTATTTTTTCTAGGAATGTTTAATTATCTATTTTTAACGAACCTTTTCCTGGATGGACAAGTGATATTTCAAAATATTGACAACGATATGATCTTAAGTATTAAAGGATTTGTTCAATCAATCAAAACTCTTAAGCAAAGATGAAAAGATAAAATTTTTAGTCCTCCGGTCCGTATACGAGACGATATTTTAAGTCGTGCGTTATAAACGGGTTTATTTTAATAGCACGATATAATAATGTTACATGTCAAATGCATCCGTAATCTCTTATATGATTGACACTCGTACTTCTGTCCGTCTGTCTGTTGCGTCCGTACTGTGTTTTTACGAGCGGTGTTAATCACTTAATTACTTTGATTCGTGCGATATCTCGGTTTTTTATCTACTACTGTTACGCTTCAGTAAGGCTTATAATTTGCAGCCAAATCCAAACGAGATATATGTATATTTGTATGTTTATATAATCTACATCTGCAAGTTGTTAACATCTGAAATACATCGTTTTTTGATTCTGAAATTTATTTAATTATGTATTTTATTAATTATTGACACTTAAAAATGAAAAACTAAAATTTTACTTTCCAAGATTTACCTCAAACGAAAAATGTCTAAATGATAATTAAAATGTTATTTTCTTTTGTTACAGATGAATCAAAACATCATTTAGATGTAATAAGAAAGCTGAAGAAAATGGAGGACAGTACTAGAGCTACGAAAACAAACGTAGAAGAATGTGGAAAGAGTGAACGTATTCCTACATTAGAAGATTTACAAGACACCATTCAAAGCGGCGCGAAAAATCTAAAAGATAATTTAAAAACAATAACAATAATAAACAATTATTGCAAAATGAAGAAACCAAGCTACTTCATGCATAAAAACTTTCACTACAAAGAAGAATTATCAAGAAGAATCTCAATGAAAAGAGAATACGGATTTTATAATTATTGTTTCATTAGTGTTTGTATTAGTTTTATACTTGGTTTATCAATCGGTGTGGTTATTATGGGATCACCACAAACTCAAGTACTAAGTCCTGTTAGTCCTAGAAAAGTTTTAAGATTGAATAATTCCCGAGACATAACTTCGAGAAGTTTAAATTCATTAAAATACAGTAATGGTGTTCGAACAAATAATGAAGTTGAAATTACAAAAGAAAAAGATTTAAATAAATTTTCTTCAGTCTCATTTACTGGTGAAAATGAGACCCAAAAGTATGTTAAAGATGTTTATCCAAAAAGTCTGACGGAAGATATGAAAGAAATTTTAAAAGACAACAAAAACTCTCATCACAAACATTCTATAGCTAATGTTGTTAGCAACAAAACTGATTATGTTCCAAATGACAATACCGTATTATATGAAAACATCTATTGGGGATCTGAAGTAGAAAATTCGATGCCTCAAGGTTACGGCGAGAATACTGCAGAGATTTGGGAAAGATATGTAGAACAAACTGAGGTTATAAAAATGGAAAATGGCTGTGGCAGAATGCAGAACCGTCTTGTAACATTCAAAGATGGAATTCAAGCTTGCGTTCGCTACAGACAGAATACGGACCAAATTCAAGGAGAGATTTTCAGTTTTTATGTAGGAAGATTATTGAATTTAACTAATTTGGCGCCTTCTGTTGTTAAAGTTGTGGACTTAAAGGATAAACTATGGCAAAGTGTAGCTGGAGATATTTCTACCGCACAATGGAACACTAACAGAGCTGTTGTGCTCACTCAGTATATACCCAGTTTAGAATCGGCAACAATTCCAGAAATCTTCAAACCGTCTAATAGACATTTGAATAAAATTGACGTTTTAAAAATGTCTATAAAAGATAACGATATTGGTGATAACTCGAAACAAATCATGATAAACAAACTAAAAGCAAAAAAAGATAAACATGTACAGAAAGATATTGAAGAACCTTTTGATCATATAGACCTTAAGTTAACGAAATCTACAATTCAACTATTCGTAGAATTAGCGCAATGGTCTGATCTCATAATATTTGATTACCTAACAGCGAATTTAGACAGGATTGTAAATAATTTGTTCAATTACCAATGGAATGTCAACATAATGGACGGTCCCGCGCATAATTTAGCGAGAAAGATGGATAGTGGATTATTATTGTTTCTAGATAACGAATCCGGTCTCTTACACGGATATAGACTATTAAAAAAATACAATGTGTACCATAGCCTAATGTTGGACAATTTGTGTGTGTTTAGAAAGAGAACAGTAGACGCTTTAAAATCTTTATATGAACAATCAGTGGGTGTTAAACTTAGTGAAATGTTTCATAAGAAAAATAATGCGGTTATTAGAGACATATTACCACCATTACCTGAGAAAAATGCGAAAATTTTACACGAAAGAATAGGCAAAGTGTTAAGTCAGATAGAGAAGTGCGAGCAAGCGTTCGCTAATAGATAAGTTGTGTTGCTAAACTTGTACTGAAATTGTAACAAAACGTCCCTTCCCTTTTTGTTTTTTATACATTTTGAAATAAAAAGGCGAATGGATTTTTTTAACCAAACAGCCAAAAATAAAGATACCACCCATTTGTTTAATTGTAAATTAATGTTTTACAATTTTAAAAATGGATTAAAACAATCGGTGTACTTTTCAATTTACTATTGTTTCATTAATGGTAAAAAGAAATCTCAGTGTAATTACAATTTCAGTACAAGTTTTTTTGTAAGTTTTAAAGCATTTTTCGATACCAAATACTCTTATTTATTGTAAAGTTAAATAATGTGCCAGTATATATTTTGAAGTGATATTTAATTTAAGTTTATATTATATTGTGAATATATTTTCATTAGATGTCAGTTGATTTTTTGTAAATTCTGTAAATATTATTTTAATTTGGTCTTTTATATTTTCTTCGTAAAAATATAAAGCCGTCGAATATCGATATAAAGACTGTATAATTTAGTTTTTCTGATTTCTTTGTTCGAATATTTACTTTGTCATTGTGTACTTCGTTGGTGTATGACGAGCTTTAATATTGGAATATGTAAATATATGTAAAAAAATGTAATTAAAATGAATAAATGATCTTTAAAAAGATGGACGGTCTTTGTTATTTACATTTTAAAGGAGCACTGGGTACGTCATAAATTATTAATGGTTAAGGGCAAGCCGCCATCTGATTACAAGCAAAACATTTATTTTGTCTCGATGGATTGACGATTACTTACGGAATTTAAAAAACTTACAAATATAATTAAACCAACATATAATGCAGTAACTATCTTGGAAGAAAGTGATTTATTTAGTTTTTATTACACCCGTAAAATATATAGAAATAAAATAAGTATTATTGATTATTGAAAAGTAATTGCAGTTTTTTTAATACCACAAAGTTTCATTAAAGTAATATAAATAAATTACTAACTTAATAATAACTGTTATGACATCCAAATACTTAGAAAAAATTACAACCTGAAATTTATTTATTACTAAAGGGAATAAATATTGATTTTTTTCTAACTCATCAGTATCAACATAGAACTAATGATAACTTAAATATCAAATCAATAATATAAAGCACGACGCCTTAACTTAACCCAATAGACTATCGTTTGTTTAAACTAGCGCTGCCTGGCTGAGACACGCCCCCGGCTGCCGCCTCGACGCTGTCTTCAACATATGTATATTTATATCTATACAACCTTGAGATGACAAACAAATAAAGCATGAATTGCTTAGGTTAGCTACTTAAAAGGTTAAGTAGAAGATATAAAAATAATTTGAAACTTATTCAACGATTGCAACAAGCGAGTTAACATAGTTAAAATATCTACAAATCCAAAGTTATTCTAAGCCCATACATCACTTCAAACCATAGTGTAGTTTTGAATATCAGAATCACAGTATTTGTGGTAGCAATTGGAAGGATAAGAGTGGGCGCACACTATCGCACAACTGTTATGCGATTGTGGATTGTTTCAGCAAATTCAACTGTTTAGTTGCACAACTAAAAATCGAGTAGTGTGTGCATCTCCATAGAAGCTCATAGGAATCAAAGCGGGACTGAACAGTTGTGCGATAGTTTTCGTGCGAGCGCTCTTAGTGAATTCTCTTTCGTATGTTAATTGTATATATAAATAGCTCTTAGTTATTACAATTAACAGTTTTTGGTATTAGAAACTTTTACTTTGAATAAACTACTTAATGGATGGATCAAACTACGGAAAGGACTATCTAATGCACTTTTTAATGAAAGTAAAATACAATAAGCGTCAATAGTCTAATGGTTTGGGGTACGAACTACCGATCTTACGGTGGAGGGTTCGAATCCCGCTATTCGACTATTGTCGTGAACCATATCCTAGCACAAGCCTAGAGTTAGTTGGAATGGTTAAAGGAATTATTAGTAAATTAACAAAAATCTACTAATATTTTAATTAAAAAATAATAAAATAAATAACAGATTCTGTATACAAAGATAGTTTGAGCTGTTTAATAGATCGGTTAATATCTCTTAAGTTTACTGATATAATAACCGAACAGAACTTTTCATGTTAACAAACATTGATTCTTCTTATTGAAGTGTAAAACGTATTAAAAAAAACAATAAATCAAGTTAATATCAATGTAAGTAAGACTAGAGTTAAATTACTTTTATTCTCTATTTGAAATTTAAAAGGTGAGAGTGGTATGGGCATGTTATGAGGAGAGATGAATCGCATGTAACAAGACGGACGTTAGTTATTAATGTGGAGGGGTACACCGGTAGAGGTAGACCTAGAAAGAGATGGATGGATTGCGTGAAATGTGACATGATCAAGAAGGGAAGGCTGACTGAGATGACGGATGATAGAGTGCTTTGGAGGACGAAAACCCGGTGCGCCGACCCTACGGGAGTAGGATAAGGCAGGGAAGACGATGATGTTTGAAATTTCAACATTTTTGATTTATTTTCACACGCTATTGTAACCATAAGTTTTAATTGTCGATAACCTGTGCAAGAACATTTTGTCATTCTTCTAAGATAAGTTAAACTTGTTTTGTTACAAGCTTATGGCAATGAGAACCGACCGTGAGTGAAGAATGCTCTTCATTTCGATTTGAAACTGTGTACACCCAAATAATTGGTATGTACACCATCTAGTTGGAATACCAACAGTATCAAAGTTAATAAGACAACTTTGAACGAACAGGAAACGGATAAAGGTCTCTAAAACCCTTTTACATGATCTTAAATATTTAGAATCGATTTAGCCTTTATAGTAACCGAATATTCAAATCTTTTGCATTATTTTTTTTGCTTTGAGTTTAATTCGAATCAAATTTTTTCATTTTAACTTTTATCTGGCGGACGCTGGCTGAGCTTCAATTAAGATCAATTAAGTTAAGGACCAATTTAGTTTTGTTTCGATTTTTAAGTAAAATCATTTATTTTGTTATTTTCGATAAGAATGAACGAATACAGAAAATAGTGACAATGATAGTATGAACATCTATACAATTATAATAAAGCGTAAACACACACTTCTTTGTTGCCTAAGATGTCAGCAATTACAGACTATTTTTTAATAAAAAGCCATACACTTACGTCACGCTTTAAGCTATATATTTCCACGCCATTAAAAGTAGGGGGTAAATATTTTGGATAAAAACCCTAATGTGGAAAATAGAGTATAAGTTGTTGCCAACATCAAGGAAGTAAGATTGACGAGGTTTGTCGTTTTGACATTTACAATTGATAATTTTTCAAATGTAAGCAATAAAATAAAATTTTCATAATTTCATGCGGATGAAGCCGCACGGAAATACCTTATAATTAATAAATTAAGTGATAATATATATTAACAAATATTAGCTTTATCCTATATACGACGAGTTGTGAAATATGGTTGAAAAAGTAAAACTTTTTTAAATAAAATTTTATCAAAAAATTGTTATGAAATATTTTTATATTAATTATCCAATGTTTTATCAACAGGGAGATTTATATTTAAAATAATTATCCGCAGTATAAATTCCTCAATTACAAAATGAGCGCGCAGATAACTCGCATTTATTTGTAAAAAGGGATTCATATCGGAACGTAGAGATTTATTAACCTTTAAATTCCGTCCAGCGATTTCATTGCAAATTAGTATTATAAAATGTAAAAATACCATTCAATATATACTTAATTCCAAGTAATCGTGCCTAAGTAGGGATAAAAATTCTACTGGAAATGAACGTCTAACAAGACTTTATCACTCTAGTAATCTCTTACTAATATTTTGAAGTTTAGAAGTATCGCTCTCGATGAAAATTGGCATAGATGAAGAACAATATGGAAGAATACATTTGGTACTTGTTTTTTTTAATTCCACGGGGGCGAAAGCTAGTTTGATCATCATCATCATCATCATCTCCTTATCCTACTCCCGTAGGGTCGGCGCAACAGGTTTTTGCCCTCCGCATAACTCTATCATACGTCATCTAAGTCATCACTCCCTTTTTGATCATGTCACCTTTTACACAATCCATCCATCTCTTTCTAGGTCTACCTCTACCGATGTACCCTTCCACACTCATAACTAACGTTCTCCTTGTAACATGCGATTCATCCCTCCTCATAACATGACCATACCATGCTAACCTTTTACTCCTAACCTTCTCTACTATGGGGGCTACTCTCAAACTTCCTCTAATATACTCATTTCGTATCTTATCCATTCGTGTTACCCCACACATCCATCTTAACATTCGCATTTCTGTCACATGTAGTCTCCTTTCATCCATCCCTTTCACTGCCCAAAATTCAGATCCATACATCATGACAGGTCTTACGACGGCCTTGTAAATTTTCCCCTTTAATTTAAGTGGAATTTGAGGGTCGCATATTACTCCTGTGACCTGTCGCCATTTCATCCATCCCGCTTTTATTCTATTTGTCACGTCACGGTCAATGTAGCCGTCGCTTTGGATTAATGACCCGAGGTACCGGAAGTCGGAGCAAACTGGGAGATAAGCGCCATCTAAGGCAATCATATAATTACAATTTTGTAATAGTAATATTAGTGTTTAGAGCATCGATTTTCATTGATAAGAAATATACTCTTTAAAGTGACTACATCAGAGTGCTTAAAAACTGTTATATAACTAAACTAAACTATAAATATATTAGAAGCCTTTAACCTAACCTACCCCTTTCTAGTAGTTTCTCAATTAAAAACATCTAGAAAAGAATTTAGAGTATCTATTTGCATTGGTCAAGAAATACACTTTTTAAAGTAACTTACAATTAATTCAGCATCAGAAGGCTTAAAAAAACCATAACTAAACTTATTACATTCGAAGCTTCTAACCTACTTTCTTCTAGTAGTTTTTCTAGTTAAAACATCTATAAAAAAAGACATCTATGTAAAAGACATATGTTGTAAAACGCGTAAGTTAGTCCAGTAGATTATTGTGTAGATTGCAACAAAGCTATTAGCCGTTAGTGCGTAGCTCCACATGCCGACGTTACGAGGTGACAGACAAACGTAGAGTCTCGATAAAAGCGCATACTTGTCAGGAACGAAATAA